TTTGTATCAAGCAAAAAATGTAATATTTAATAGTAATCATTGATCAAGACTAGCTATATTTATTGTCAACACACTTCAAAATTTCTATATTTTAATAATTATGTTATGATAATGGTTACTAAAAATAAATTAGCTCAAATCTACTATTAAAGAATTATACTTTTTATCACACATAAATATAACAGTACATGTACACATACCTTCTCTCCTGATATCATAAAAATTCCACATAGGAGCAAACACAACTGAATCTCTTATACCACGTATCCTACTTGGGAACAAGGTTGAATACCAATAGTTAAAACGACCACTCATGGAGAAAGTGCCACCAATGGAAATCTGAAAAAATCAATGAATATGTGCACCACTAACTTTAAAAGGTTTTTGTTATAAACTCACATAAATTGATGAATAAGCAGAGCCTAATAAAGTAATAGGTCTTGGAACATTAACTCTCCATGTAGAGTAAAAGTAATGTCTGGTTATATTAGTAACTGTTGATATACTGCTGTTGAACACAATGTAGGGAAGAATAACTGGAGGAACTATAAGAATAGTGATTATCAAATTTAAGCAATATAATAGCACATTTGGTACATATACATGTAGATAGTGTTTACTAACAAGCAAAATAATTTAATGCTTGATATAAATGAAGATAAGAGCCGTAACAATAAAATGCCAAACTAAAATCAAACAAATGAATCATAAACCATTCATATCCTATTATATAATGTTTAGGTGGATATAGTCTCACTGTAACAAACAATTCCATCTCCAGCGTATCCACTAGGACAAGGTGGGCAAGTGACACCAGTTCCAGGTGCTGGTACATCAGTACATGTAGCATTATTGAAGCATGATACTTCAGTACAACCATCAAAATCATCTTCACAATATTCACCATCATATGCTATTATAATGAAAAATAGTAATACTCTTGTATTATTTTTAAAATCAAAAGCACATAATGGCATCAACATAAAATTATTGGTTTCCACAGTAACTTTTATTTAAAGGCTATTTATTTTGCATGGGCACAATGCAATAATAATTACAATGAGGAAATGACTAGGACAACACTGTAGTAATTTCGGCCACTTTATTAGAATTTGTGAAGAAAAAAATGAAAGAATCCATGCACCTAAATAGTATGGCCTAACTAACCTAGATGGAGGCTAACATGAAACTGGGAATATTGTTATTTTTTAAAATTTTCTTCCTAACAATTTGTTATTCTATAGTGCCATAATTTACTTGATAGTTAGATATTTAAATGCAATATACTGATAAATTATTGTTTGAATAATATGTGTAACTATTATACATAAATTTACCTTCCATACAATCACACATCAGGATCAATGGGTTACTATTGTCATTCTTATCTGTAACTGTACAATTACCTCGATTACTTGTGCAGGTACAAATTATCACCTATAATTTGGTAAGACAGAATATTATTACATTTTTAATATTACTTAAATTTAATATTACAAATGTTGAAAAGATATAAAAATATGTTGCGTAATACATACTTGTGGAGTTTTAGTTGATGTTTCATTGAATGAGTCAGTAGCTATCACAGTAAAATTGAACTCTGCTAAAGAAGAGAGTGTAACATTGAGTGTCCATATTGATCCATTTTGATCAAGTGTGTATGGAAACTCTCCATCAAATTCAATAGTAACATTGACAGTATCTCCAGGGTCTATGATACGTAGTGTGTATGATGCTGTCTCTCCTACTGCTATCATAAAAGTATCACTAGCTTCTATGACTGGTGGAGTATTAGTGGCTGTGGAATATAAGATAAAAGTAATATAGATTATTTAATCACAAAGTTATGCAAATATGCTTAGCTTTCAAGTCAATAATGTCAAAAAAGGCTCTAAAATAACAATCAACAATTTTTTACCAGTATCAATTCTGTAAACAACATTAGTCCAATTAGATACAGCTCCTTCACAGTCGATATTAACTACACTGCTACTCTTTGACAATTGGTGGTTTTTATAAAAGGTACCATTCACACTGTAACCAACTGCAGCAGTTCTAAGAGTCCATCTGATGAGATCACACTGATATGTAAATATTGAATATGTTATGCTTCCTTGTACTGCTATAGCCACTTGAAAGAAGTTTGACTATAAAAAATTATAATCACATAATAAAATCATAAGTTACATACATCTTGACAGTTTCCTCTATTATAAGGACATATGTCATGCCAGTAAGCCCACAGTAACCAATCAGCTTCAAATGTATTACCAGTGTAATTGGATAAGAAGGCATTGACTCCAGTGATGAGAGATGATGATCCAGATACAATTTGATAGCGTAGCTCTCTTGATCCCGACAAACGACTATCATCCCAATATGGAGCCACAACAGCTAAACTACTTTCAAGAGGGAAGTTCCTTGGAGAGAAGGAATTATAGGCATTACCAAAGCTGACTAATCCATTGCTGCTAATCTATAGTTAGAATAGAATTTGCTTCAAACATGTATGATTATATTTACTCACATAAGCTCTGTTATAGCGAAAGCCTCCAAACTCAAGTGTATTTGGTAGTGCAGCATTAGCAGAACCATCATCAACATTAGTATACACATTATAACTTGATGGATAAAGGAATGGAAGAAACACTGCCCCAACTACTATTAAATATAAATTCTGTGTTTATTGTAAAAATCAAAATTTGGGATTACTTTATATACAACTATCTATTATTGTGTGACACATAATTATAAGCTTTGATAATTAGCATAACTGACCATAATTACAAACAATTCCATCTCCAGTGTATCCACTAGGACAAGGTGGGCAAGTGGCACCAGTTCCAGGTGCTGGTACATCAGTACATGTAGCATCATTGAAGCATGATATTTCAGTACAGCCATCAAAATCATCCTTACAATATTTTCCTTCATATGCTATTATTTTATAAATAAAAGTTATGATTCAGCGCCAAATATTCAAGTAAATCAAATTACACAAATTATAAGTATTTTTATGATTTTTGCTTTCACAAGTTTTTCTGGTGGCATCTTCTGTCCTTTTGTATTGCTTTACTTGTGCAAATCTTCAATACTTTTTAAAATAATTATTTGAGAATTTTACTGCCCTTAAAAATTTTGGAGTGGTAGCACATACATTGGGTATGCTACACTTATTTTATAGTTAACATCAATTTTATTAGCAATTAGTAATAAAGTCATTGGTTTGGATTTATTTACCTTTCATACAGTCACACATTAGAATCAAAGGATTACTGGTATTGTTCTTAATACCTTCCATACTGCAATTACTTATGTTAAGTGGACAGCCACAAATGATTAACTGCATGGTTTATGATTGAGTATATAAAGAAACAAAATATCTTTGAATTATGTTTGCTACCTGTATGTACATAACATACTTGTGGTATTTTAGTTGATGTTGCATTGAATGAATCAGTAGCTATCACAGTAAAATTGAACTCCACTAAAGAAGACAGTGTTACATTGAGTGTCCATATTGATCCATTTTGATGAAGGGTATATGGAAATTCTCGATCAATAGTAACACTGATAGTGTCTCCAGGGTCTGTGATACGTAGTGTGTATAATGCTGTCTCTCCTACTGTTATCATAAAAGTATCATTAGCTTCAATGACTGGTGGAGTATTAGTGACTATGGGATACAAAACAGAATTAACTCAAATTCTTGATGATACTACTGAGAGAAATTAGCAAATGATTCTTAATTTTTAGTAATTGACATTTTACTATATACTCCTGGTTGTACTTATGCCATAGATATACGACTGTTGTATATCTATGCTTATGCTGACAAAGTCAGGTAATTGAATTTTTAAGCTAATTAAACTCTTAGCTAATCTCTAATATTTACACAACTAATTAAGCTATGGTTACATCAGTAGTAGGAAATATATGTGAGAGTTTTAATTATAAAATTCTTTTTGAGTTCAAACTACATGTACATGACTCAAGGTTGATGTCATGTATAATTATAGTAAACAAAGATGTGATCCTACATCTCAGCTATGTCCTTTGGTCTCACTATCATTAAGTATACTCCTTAAGCTGGGTTTTAATACAATGAGTGCGCTAGCATCATGACTGGAAGCGCTGTAAAAACAAATGGGAGGAAGCATCAATGCATCAGATGAACTATAATTTTCTACTATTTTTACAACTACATAAACTATGGTTACATCAATACACATGTAGTAGGCCCTTCAGCATTTTTTGATGTACCAGTGTACAGTACAGTTGATTCCCAGTACCAGTACAATTAAAAGTATAATTATAAAGTGGTAAACTCTATAATTACGCTGTCCTCCATTCATACATGGACTGTTGCTATCACATGCAGATACTGGAAAAATTAATAGCAGAACAGACTAAATTTATTAAAGTATTGAGCCATAATTTTGCAAGCAAATTAAGTTACAATACAGAAAACTACAAAAAGATTAAATTTAGTAGCCGATTATAAAATATTATAAATAAAAAATAAGCAATAATCTCAATTTTTATTTTTGCGTGCAAGCCTCCCTTTAAGACATGACTACCATACTGTCTAACATTTGGCCTATCTTACCACAATCAGCTAGGATAAACTATAGTCATTGTTTCCATTCAAGCAATGCATGCATGGGCTTTAGTATTACTATTGCATATGAGATATACATGTCAGTTATAGGTTTACCAGTTTGAACTGTAATAGAATTACTAGATGCACCAATTCCTGCACTGTTACTGGCAGAAACTATTATTGAATAATTGGTTCCTTCAAGAAGGCCATTTATTATGACAGTGTTGGCAGGAGCAGGTACATTCAATTCATTATGCTGTCTTTCTGTATAATACATCACTGTGTACCATTCTACCTCTGACTGTGTTAAAGGGTCCACATTGTTCTATAGAAAAAACCACAATAAACTAAATACTTTAAAACTTTTGTGAACAAAAAAGGAATACACATTCATTTTCATACAACATGGCTACAATATGATACTTACTGTCCAATTGACTTCTAAAGAACTTGAACTGATACTCACAACACTGTTAAGAGTAGGAGCATCAGGAACTATGGCAACAAAAATGATAATTACTATATTAAAGAATTTTGATTTAATTTACCATTTGGTTGAGTTTCAGCATCAATAGTTGCTTCATTGCTAATACCAATAGCATTTTCTACAGCAACACTAAAATTGTAAACAGTAAATGGTTGAAGATTAAATAATATTAGCTCTTCACTTTCTCCCACAAATACTTGTGTCGCATTACCAAGTCCATTAGATATAGCAGCATATGATACTATTCCACCAGTGATTGGGGAATTACCATTAAAACCTAATGACCAGCTCAATGTAACACTTGTATTAGTAATGTTAGATGTCATTAGGTTATACACTGGGTCAGGCTTCAATGGAAACACAACTGTGAGATTCAATAATGAATCATTGGCATTAAGGACACCATTAGAAACAGAGCATGAATACTCTCCACCATCATCAAGTCCCCCAATAGGTAAAAAAGAGAGTTCAGAAGACATTGAGTTTGTACTAATACTAATGTGAGGAAAAGCTTCAAGATTAATTGCTGTCCTATTATGAAACCAAGTGACTGATTCAATCATCGGAAAAGCATCAAATGAGCATGTAATAGTATAATTGGTACCAATAACAGCAGTCTGATTTAATGATGCTGAAATAATATCCAAATCTATCAAACAAAAAAGAATAAAGGAGATACTTGAGTATATTGGCTTACATTGCACATTAAGAGTTACAGTAGTGTCCATGTTAACTCCTGGTACATCTATACTAGTGGATCTACAGATATAATTACCACTAGCTGCTCTGTTAATATTGGTTAGGTGTAAAGTCAAAGGAGGATTATTAATGACAGGTGTAAGCTCACTACCATCACTATCATTAATCCATACATAACGTGGTACACCACTGTTACCAGGATCAGAACATGTTAATGTTAAGTTGGATCCTTCAATGACACTAACAGTACCATTAGGAGATACTCTTGGGTTTAAAAAGTCTATGAAACACAATTGATTAAATACAAAGTAATTAAATGATAAACTTACTATAAGCTCCAATAGTAATGATAGATTGCTGATCAGCTGATGATGATGAGCATCTCAGTGTGTCACCAACATCAACAA